TGAACTCAATTGCAAAATATACGACATATTTCTCTTGCATGAACCTTACTTGCTATCACCTCCCCCATCCTCCCTCTCTCTCTCTCTCTCTCTCTCTCTCTCTCTCTCTCTCTCTCCACACACACACACACACACACACACACACACACACACACACACAAACACACACACACACACAAACACACACACACACAGGCGCACGCACACACAGGCGCGCGCGCACACACACACACACACACACACACACCGGTACCAAAGAGAGAGATATGATTTTGTTGATTTATATGGTTGCCTTACTTCGCACATGACTTAAGTCTATGTAAATCATCAGCAATAGTAATAGTAAAGACCAGATAACAAAACATTAAAAAGCAACAATCCACATCAACAACATACACATGCCTATGCACCAGGAAAAAAAAAGTTATCTGGTATTTCACACTACTTATAGACTCAATGATGGAGATGGAGGTCTTTAATGCCTTCTGAAAGGCAGCCAAAGCTAACCATATCTTGGAGAATCCAAAGGTGAGAAGCAATGACCGATAAAGTGCATGTTTCTTGATGCTTCTGTGAGAAGAGACTGGACTGCCATCTATCAGAAATAGTGTAGGGCTTCTTGTTTGGTTGGGAGCATTGGACTAGATGAATACAAGGTCCCTTCTAATTCTGTTATTCTGTTATTATTGTTAGATAGTGTATATATAGAGAGAATGGTCAAAAAGGCCAAGGACTTAAGCAGCATAAGGCTCAGGCTTGATCAATTAATCAGAATAAAGATGGTTTTCTTTGATGGAAAGTCTTTTCAGGCTTTTATCTGTTCCAGGTGGGATTCTGGAAAGTTAATAAAATTAGTATATCTTGGTTCATGTAGTGTTGCCTAATAACATATATGTATCATGTGTATTATGAACACAATCTATACTCCTCTAGGTCTTGATTACTTCATTAATGGCTCTCATGAAGTAGCTGGCTTGTTGTACATACATACACACATGCAAACCGATACTACTACCACCACCACAACAAAAAGAGTTTGTTTTTGTATAAGACATCAGGCATACTTCACAGTGATGGGTTTAAATGAAACTATTCAGCTATTCAAGGAATTGTGTGTATGCTTTTCTCAGAAATTACATAGTGCTGATCAATCAAAATTTGAGGCAGAGTGGAACAGAAAAAATATGTTGTGTTAAACTATTTGATTTAGGCAAACAAAATAGTTACAAGTAGGCTGAAGCAAAAGATGCTAATCAAGTTCATTGAGTTTGAGATCAAAATGATGAACCTTAAGGGTTTACAAATCTTTTCTGGAAGAAGAGGCAGATTTTATGAACCCCAAATTCTTCTCTGGCTCAGCTTCAGATTTAAGCCAGAGAAGCTTTCCTATTTTCTATTGCATTCTCCATTCTCTTATTGAGATTATTCCTCATCTACCCTGCCATATTTCCTGATTTCTTCTTCTATTTTTATTAATTATTTGTGCTCTAGACCAAAAAAAATATAGTACACATTTGTAATACATAATAGTAATAATAACAACACAACAACACAAAATAATAATAATAATAATAATAATAATAATAATAATAATAATAATAATAATGATGATGATGATCGACAAGCTAATCCTAAAGAACTCAAAGAAAAGACGAACCAACCTGTTCATGGCTTGGATAGACTATAAGAAAGCATTTGATTCAGTTCCCCATAGCTGGATCAAGAAATGCCTGGAAATATTAGGCATCAGCAGCAACATACAAAAATTCATGGAATCTTCAATGAACCTCTGGAAAACAAAACTTATGGCTAATGAAGAAGAACTGGGTGAAGTTGAAATTAAACGAGGCATTTTCCAGGGCGATTCCCTTTCACCCCTACTTTTTATACTCTCAATGCTACCACTGACAATCATTTTGAAGAAGATGAACTGTGGATACGAACTTGTAAAGAAAGGACTGAAAATCTCGCACTTGATGTACATGGATGATTTGAAGCTGTTTGGTAAAACAAAAGCTGAACTGAATTTATTAATTGAAAACACAAAAGAATTCAGCCAAGACATTGGTATGCAGTTTGGAATTGACAAATGTGCAACAATAGCAACCAAAGCAGGCAAGATCATAAAAGAGGATGGAATAGAACTAGAGAATGAAGAAATGATAAAGGCAGTAAAATCAGAAGAAGGCTACAAGTACTTGCGGATTTTAGAAGCCTCTGACTTAATGCATAATAAAGTCAAGGAATTAACTTCAGCCAAGTACATTCGGCGAATTCGTAAGATATTAATGTCCAAATTGAGTGGAGGAAACATCATAAGAGCCATAAATACCTGGGCTATACCTGTGATTAGATACTCTGCAGGAATAATTGACTGGACCCAGATGGAGTTAGACAATTTGGACAGAAAAACAAGGAAGCTTATGACAATGAATCATGCCTTGCACCCTAAAAGTGATGTTGACCGATTATATTTACCAAGAGCAGAGGGTGGTCGAGGACTCCTACAAGTAAAGCAGATTGTGGAAGAAGAAAAATGCAGCTTGAATGATTACATCCAGAAAAGTGAAGAACCAATGATTAAGGAAGTAAATAAAGGAGGCCTTTTAAAGACAACTAAAAAAAAAGCAGAATATAAGAAAGAAGTAATTGAGCAGCGAGCTGAAAATTGGAAACACAAAGCTCTGCATGGCCAATACTTGAAAAGTATTGAAGGCAAAGCTGACCAGAAACTAACTTGGAACTGGTTAAGATCAGGAGTACTGAAAAAAGAAACTGAAAGCTTTATTTTGGCAGCTCAAGAACAAGCCCTAGCCACAAACTGTATGAAGGCAAAAATTCAACATGTTACCACCAACAGCAAATGCCGCCTCTGCAATGAGAAAGATGAGACAGTCGACCACCTGATCAGTGGGTGCAGCAAAATTTCACAAACTGACTACCTACAATGCCATGACCGTGTTGCTAAAATCATTCACTGGAAATTGTGTCAGAAGTTTGGATTTGAGTACAGCAAAAACCACTGGGAACATCAGGTTGAGAAAGTTTTAGAGAATGAGAAACTCAAGATCTTGTGGGACTTTAGGATTCAGACTGACAGGCACTTGGTCCACAACACACCTGACATAACAATAGTTGAAAAGAAAAAAGTATGGTTCATTGACATTGCAATACCTGGTGATGCACGAATTGAAGATAAGCAGCAAGAAAAAATCACAAAGTACCGGGACTTACAAATTGAAGTTGAGCGACTGTGGAAAAAGAAATTGTGTGTTGTCCCGATTGTAATTGGAGCCCTCGGAGCAATACCCAAAGGGCTACCCCGCTATTTAGAAATTCTAAATTTGCCGGACTTGAACATTTTGACTCTACAAAAAAACACCTTACTCGGAACAGTTTACATCCTCCGACGATACCTTAACAGTTCCTAGGTCCTTGGTTAGGACTCGAGCTGCTGAGCTATTAACCAGCCTCAAAGGCTGTGAATCTCACTAAAGATTAACCAATAAATAATAATAATAATAATAATAATAATAATAATAATAATAATAATAATAATAAATACCAGGTGATACATGAATTGAAGAGAAACAGCTATTAAAAATAACGAAATACGGTGATCTTCAAATTAAAGTTGAGTGACTGTGGAGGAACAAATCAATGGTTGTACCAATAGTAATAGGAGCCCTTGGAGCAATACCCCAAGGGTTGCCTAGATACATGGAAATTTCGAACTTATCAGACCTGAATACTCTGACTTTGCAAAAAACCACCTTAGTCAGAACTGCCTGTATACTCAGACCAGTAGTGGGATTCAATTTTGGTCACTACCGGTTTGCTCGTGGGTGTGCGCACGTGCGTACATGCACAGAAACATCCATGCAGGTGGGCAAGGCGTCCCGCCATCGTACCGGTTCACCCGATCTGGGGTGAACTGGTAGCAACCCACCACTGACTCAGACATTACCTTAACAGCTCTTAGGTCCTTGGTTATGACTTTAATTTTTAATTTTTTACTAGTCCCAGACTGTGAATCAAATTGCTAATAATCATGATCATAATCATAATCATGATAATGATATCCATTGACAATCCAAACTGCTGACTTTGCAATGAAAAAGTTGAAACTGTTTCACATTTAATATGTGAGTGCAACAAAATCACACAAACTGATTACAAAGCTAGACACGAATGAGTTGCTTAATTAATCCAATGGTTATGTAAAAAATATGACTTACCTGTATCCAAAAAGTCATGGGAACATAAAGTGGAAAAGGTTATCAAAAATGAGAAAGTGAAGATCTTGTGGGACTTTCAAATACAGATGGACCATCATTTGGAACACAACACACCAGATATCACAATTGTCGAAAACCAAAACGTACAATTTATTGATATTGTGGTAACAGGAGATGCCAAAGTTGAAGAAAAAGAACTGGAAAAAATCACAAAATATCACGACCTGGCCATCAAAACTACATGATTATGGATGAAACATGTAACAGTGATACCCATTGTCATCGGGGTACTTGGTACCATGTCCAAGAATTTTATAAAATACATCAATAAATTGCAGTTTCTTGCAAGAACACCAGCGGAACTGCAAAAAACTATGCTACTTGGAGCATCGTACATCTTAAGGAGGTACTTCATTGATACCTAGGACATTGGCAGCAACCCGTATCAACCGTTAGCACCAGTCAATGGTATTTGTGATGCATTTTTGAATGTTCAGTTGACTGAATTTCATGTTTAATGAATAAAGTATAATAATAGACAAAAATGTTAAATCCAGTCTGAACATCTGGCTGACTGTGTGATGATGATGATGATGATGATGATGATGATGATGATGATGAAGAAGAAGAAGAAGAAGAAGAAGAAGAAGAAGAAGAAGAAGAAGAAGAAGAAGAAGAAGAAGAAGAAGAAGAAGAAGAAGACATGAACCAACTTCAGCAACCACCCTGTTAGATTCGGCGAAGTAGACACTGAGGCCAGGCTGCTGAACAGGTAACTTTATTAAACAGCCTCAACAAGCAAAACAGAATGGAACCTTTCCTCCTGACAGCTGCTTAAAATAGAGAGCTGTCAGACAGTCCAACCAATCGAGAGCCAAGCAGCTTCCCGCTAAGTCAGTTGCTGTGCGCCTCCTCCAATCCGAGCCCGCTGATGATGGAGCCGGCTTGGGGCGTGTCAGCCCGCGAGGACTCAACACACCCTGTAGAAAATGAATTGAAACAAATAAAGAAATATGAATTATTCTGCCCCTGTTAAATGGAAAGATGTCATGACTGTCAAAGCAATTTGGAATAACATTTTGATGCAGTAGCATATCAAGAAGTTCACTAACTATCAAACTAACTAAATTCTGGTTTAGTTTCAAATTGCTCTTGCAAGAACAATAATATCAAAATGCTGTCTTCTACTGCCCTTTATACACTGTGACATTTTCCCAAATTGTTTCTTTGAACCCTGGTCAAACCACAGATGTATTCCAAGTTTTTTGGTTAAAAAATGCCTTATTCCTCATTTTGCAACTTCAGTGAAGCTAAGTATTGTAACTCTATTGATTCCAATCAATCCTGTTGTTTCATTTAATTTCTTTCCCTTCCCTTCACTTCGACTTAAGCTGTAAATATCTTGAAGTAGTAGAGCCTTGTGTTTACTTTGTAAACCATGTATTATTGGTGCCTCACTAATAAATATAATAGAAGAGAAAAGAAGCATTTAAAACGCTATATAACAGAATGCTCAGACCAGGTATAAATCCTTACTGTTTTGCTGTCCACATTACTTATACAGTATTGCAGTCCACTGATTTTATTTACAGTTTCTTAAATATTGTTTTCCCTGGGGGGAGGAAATCTTTCCTCTAGCTAGTGGGAGAGGTATTTTTAAATATATAGTGTGTTTATCAATGGCTGGGTATAATTTCTGTTGGGGAAACTTGACTACTAATAGACTTTTTCTAGTCCTCCAATTTTTGATATAGATGGATTTGACAAAATTTGCAGATCTGCTTCCATAAAAATTCAGAGACAATTTAATTCTAGTAAATCTTTATTTCTACTTTAAAATCAAACATCGAGGCTCCAGATATCAGCAAACTAAGCCCTGTGAGCCAAATCCAGAGGCCCACTCCATATTCTATATGGCCGACGAACTAAGAACGGATGAGTGAACAGGCCGAAGCCTCAGAGGAGCTTTTGGGGTCAAAGCAGGGTGGGGGCCAGGGATGATCTGGGAAATGGCAGGTGAACCAGAACAATAATAATCACAGTGTTCCTTGGCAAAATGAAACATTGTACTTCCATATTCCCACAACATGGGCTGAATTAGTTTGTTGTTGTTAGTTGTTGTGTCCAACCCATCATGACCCCATGGATAAGGTTCCTCCAGGCCTTCCTGTCCTCTACCATCCTCTGGAGTCCATTTAAGCTCACACAGACTGCTTCAGTGACCCATCCAGCCATCTCGTTCTCTGTCATCCCTTCTTCTTTTGCCCTCAATCATTCCCAGCATTAGGCTCTTCCTTCTCATTAGGTGATCAAAGTATTTGAATTTCATCTTCAGGATCTGGCCTTCTAAAGAGCAGTCAGGGTTGATCTCCTCTAGGACTGACCAGTTTGATCACCTTGCAGCCCAAGGGACTTGCAGGAGTCTTCTCCAGCACCATAGTTCAAGGGCCTCAATTATTTGGCGCTCAAATGAATTTAACTCTTTATAAAATTGGGTTTTTGATAAACTATAACCACTTGCCGGGCAATTGAAGGAGTAAACTGTCCTCCTTCTGTGTCAGCACAATACAAGAGTCCTGATATCCTGCTTGTGAGAAAAAACCTTAAGTCTTGAGTTTTTAGACTCAACAATGGGTTTGCAAAAAGGCTGAGATTTAAGTTTCGGAAACTTGGTGAATATTCAGCTTCAATTGCCAAGGTTTGCTGCTTTTAGTTCTTTGTTTGTTATATTGGATCATAGAAATTGTTTATCATGCATGGCAGCTATTTTCTTCTTTCTTAATAAAGAAATAGGTTTAGGGGAAGGACAGGAGAGAGATATTGTGGTTAAGGAGAGGTCAAGGATCAATTTTATTGTTTTTATTTTATTATTTTCTTGGGTATATTGTAGATATTAATGGGCATTTGGGGATATTATTTGGGGTATATTGTATTGTCCTTTAGGAGGTATTAGTTTGTATTTTTTATTTTTGTAATTTTGTGTTTATATTTTGGGAATGTTATTTGGTATCATTTTGGGAACTATTATTTCCTTGGGTTCAGCAAATACTGTACATTTAGTTCAGAAATACTTGTTTTATATCACAAAAACCATAAAGCAATCCTTCAGAAGATATGTGCTTTCTTATATGATTCAAATGCATTCTGAAATTAAGTGATGTGATTATAACATTTAATTATGGCTTGTACAGTTGCTGGTAATTTTTGTGCTGCTGGTTTTAAAATGTGTATTTTTTTTTAATGTAGATGTTTTCACTTGATGTTGAGTGTTTTTTAATATGTTGCAAGAGAATATAAACTATTTTATCCTCCCTGTCTCAAACTGGATTTACTCAAAAGCAAGAATGAGGAAGAAGGGAGAGGAAGAAGAAGGAAGAAACTAATCCAAATAATTTTAGTTATCTTTAAAAAACAAAAAAATCAGACTGAAGCAACTTGACTAAAATACAAAGAAACTAAAATAACTATTTCTTTAAAAAGGTTGTTCTGAAGTATGATGATACAACTATAAAATATAGTATATGGTCAATGAAAGCCAGCACTTAGAAAAATAATTCTCACAAGCAAGTGCGTGGTAATGATTTTTCTTGCTGTAAGAAAAATTCCTTTGGTGCTAGCGATACGGTTATAGCTTATTCCATCCACACTGTTCCCATCTGTAATGCCAGCTTGCTCACTTTCCCTTAGGACTGTGCTCTGTTTTAATAATAGAGTTGCAAGCTTCCCATAGCAAAGAGAAAAATGCTAAAAAAATAGGAAGACAAAAAGTGTCAAAAGTATTCCCCACCAGAAGTTAAACACAGCTTTTTATTTTCCCTCTTCTTTTTGGCATGAAAAGAATAGGACAAGATAATAAGAGCCCATGGGCATTTTGAGAATTAGAAGTATATTATGTCTGCTAGGTGGTAATTATGTGTTTCAAATACATTTGAATGAAGGCTTGGGAGGGCATAATCGTGGCCAGTGTGCTTATCTTACAGATGTTAGAAGGGCTTAGGAACCTGGCATTGCTACTTGGCTGTACTTGTGCCTTAATGCAGTTCAGCGGACATCAGAAAGGCTTACATTTTCATGCCCTTTCTGCTAAATTAAAGCAAGAAAATGAAAATAAGGAAGAAATATGGGAAATAAGCAAAATGCTTTAGCTTTACTGTGCCATCTGCTGCTCTTGGTCCTTGTTCCGTGGTTGAAAATAAAACATCTATTTTATTTTTATTTTATTTTACAATGGACAGATTGGTTTTTTTTCCCTTGCTTCAGGCTAACTGTACTAATTTTCAGAATCTCTGGCAATGTTACTTAGCAAGAATGTAGAATTAGGGAATCATTGATCCAAATGTTAGATCTATCATTTTGGAGATTCAGATGCCATTGTCCTAACTTTCAATTCATTGAAAGTTCAATTCATTTATCACTTTGCTCTTTAGTGATAAAATATAGTTTCCATCAATGTTCTGGCTTGCAGTGTGTTGGCTAGGAGGAAGACCTTCTTAACGGCAATAGCCAACCATAGAATCAGCAGGAACATCCAGGATATCTTTTAAAATGAACTTTATATTAACTTTTTGTATTGTTATTATTTCTATTTCTATTGTTTCATATTATAGCAGGTCATTCTACTGTGCATACAGGTTATTAATGTACATTTTATACATTAATCTGGTATAGTTTAAGAGGAAGAACTGTAAATAGTAATAATGGAGGTGATCATAATGATAGACGAGGAGGGGAAGGTTGAGGTAGAATGGTTTCAGAATCCCTATAAAAATATAACTGCACAAATTAAAATAATAATTAAAAACTGTGCACATTTATATGTTCTGAAATGTTCTCCTTTTATTTAGGCAGTTTATCTGTCGTCTCAATCCAAGTGGATTCTAGGCAGTCTATAGATACCTTTATGCAAAAAACAATAAATGGCACACAATTACATATTCTCAAAAGATAATGCATTAAAAATGCATATTAAAAAAAAATTCCAGGACTCTATATTAAATTAGAAAGTATTTTTTAAAAAATCCCTGAATTGTATACTGCCATATCTATATACTTAACAGAAATTCACCTCAAGTTGAAGGACATCTATTATAAGTCTTTATTTAACAAGGATTGTTAAAATTCTCCTTGTTGTATATTTGTATAGTTTGCTCCTCTCTTCATTTCTCTTAGGAATCTACCATTAACCATGGTAACAAGAAGATGAAATGAACTTCATGATGTTCACAGTCTAAACCGAGCTCTTACCTGCTTGCAACCTAATCACAGACACAAGTCGCATGGTTTGTGTTGGGATACCAAAAATATGTCCTTGCTTGTCACTCCATTGATGTCTATATATCCCAATGGTAATACTTTCCTTCTGCTCTGGAGGGAGTGTCCATGCAAACAAATGTTGTTATGGCTTCAATAGAATGTAGCACGCATCATGAATCAATAAAAGAGTATATATGCAGCTCAGGGTGGAGTTTCTGGTGCTCTCTGAGCTTGGTTGTTTCCTGACAGACTTCATTACACAAATAGGTAACAACATCAGTGCTCTTACACATGTTGTCAGCATGTGTGTGTGTGTGTGTGTGTGTGTGTGTGTTTGTGTGTGTGTGTGTGTGTACAGGTAGCCGTCCACTTACAACAGTTCATTTAATGACCGTTCAAAGTTATAACGGCACTGAAAAAAGTGATTTATGACAATTTTCACACTTACAACCATTGCAGTACCCTTATGGTCACATGATCAAAATTCAGACACTTGGCAACTGACTCATATTTATGACAGTTACAGTGTCCTCGGGGTTACAGTGTAACCCCCTAGCAACCTTCTAACAAGCAAAGTCAATTGGGAAGATAGATTCACTTAACAACTGTGTTACTAACTGTGATTCACTTAACAACTGGAGCAAGAAAAGTCATCAAAGTAAAACTCACTTAACAAATATTTCACTTAGCAACAGAAACGTTAGGCTCAATTGTGGTTGTAAATTGAGGAACTACCTGTATATCCATGCACATACACGCATTAGTCAAAGATACATCTTTTTTATGTTGTATTGATATATAAATCAAGTAACTGATGTTTTTACAAGTTGTGGTTAATATTACAATAATATAATATTAACGTAAATCATGAAGAGTAAAAGGAAACTTAAAATTGTATTTCTTTTATTTTTTTTCCTGTCACATTTCTATGATTTGCTTCTTACTCAAATTTATATTTCCAACTGTACAAACACTCTAGTTCCCACTGCACTTAGTTCCACTGGATCTGATCTTGTCTGAGAATTGAACATTTCACCATGAAATGTTTCAATCACTCAAAAATAGGGTGACTCTTTTGGGAGGAAGGGAGATCTATACAGTCCCATTAAGCAAGCAGAAGGAATTCAGCTTATTTTTCTATTTCATGCATTAGTTGACTGTCACTTTGGTAGGAAGTGCTCTCTATACGTGCCACATTTTTTTTTTTACTGCAGCCCATTGCAATATTTGAAAAATTTCTAGAAGCAATATCAGTAAAGACAAGCTGTTGAAAAGTGCCATTGAACAACAGTTATTCAAACAGAAGGACACATTATTAACAGCAAAAAATATATACAGGAACATCTGGCTACCATGGATGAGATCAGGAATCAGATGCACTAAAAATGCTCTCAAGATACGCCTTAGCGAAGATGCCAATTTACATTCTGGCATTTATTATAAGAAGATTTTTTTTTTTTAATCTCTTTTTCTCCCTCCCTCCCTCTCTCTGTCTCTCTCTCCCCCAAATTTGATGATGTACAAAATGTACATTCATCAACATTCCAACATTCTACAACAAACAGAGGGTAGATGTGCCTGAATGGGCAGCTAATCTTCTTTCCTAACATTTCCTATTTTCTCATTACAAAAACTGGCTTCAACTTTCTGGTTTGAGAAAGAGAGAGGCCTGATCATAGTCATATTGCCTTGAAGGGGCATTGAACATGACCAGTAAGTGCCACAGACTTGCCAGAGGTATTTGCATATAGTTTAGCAACAGCTGTCTGACTTTGTAGTCTCCTCTTGGACATCAGTTTGAGCTGTGCTGGGAACCCACTTGTAATGTTTAGTCTCACCACGGCATGCTGGTGGTAATGATAATTACATTACTTTTGCACAGAATGATAAAGATGCTTGTCTTCTCATTCCCTGAACTGATAACTCACTGTTGCATTCCAAATAGCAGTTTGAATGGCAGTGACAGGCCATCTCATTCTATGAGATGGCTGTCCTCAAAGCCCACTGTGTACAATAGGTCTGCCAGCCCAGATTATACCCTGGCCATGATGTGTGTCTGCTTCTATTGCTATGTATGTAAGGTTCACATCACTGCCTCACCCTCATTTATCTTTGCAATGCCTGTCTGATTCTTTGTCCCTCTGTTTTGGACCTTTTATCTATATTTTATTGTGTCTTTAATCCCCAATGTGCATCCTATCAGTATGATACAGCCCCCTAAGCCATATCCTATAAAAGGTAAAGGTTCCTCTCGCACATATGTGCTAGTCGTTCCAGACTCTAGGGGGCGGTGCTCATCTCCGTTTCAAAACTGAAGAGCCAGTGCTATCCAAAGATGTGTACATGGTCATGTGACCGGCATGACTAAGTGCCAAAGGTGCACAGAATGCTGTTACCTTCCCACCAAAGTGGTCCCTATTTTTCCACTTATAATTTTTATGTGCTTTCAAACTGCTAGGCTGGCAGAAGCTGGGACAAGTAACGGGAGCTCACCTCATTTACATGCAATACGTGATGGTCTTCCCATGTTTGCATCTAACCATGGCATAATATGTTTTGGCTACATGTTTCTTTTTCATGCTATGTCCCCATCATCTTGCCTTCAACTCATTGTTTATGACTGAGACAGCCTTGTGTCATCCTGAGTTATACCAGTGGGGTGTAACAAAACAGAACTTTGTTTCTCCATTTATTTCAATCCTGTGCAAGGACTCAGAACTGATGTTTAAATCCAGCATATCCCAAATGAGTGTGGATGAAAATGGTGCATGACAGAAACATATTTTTAAGTCCTTTAAGTTTTTAAACGTATCTTTAAGTCCATAAGACTCTTGCCTACCTACTGTATATTTTAAAAGTTATATTTCACTGAAATATCATTTTCATGTGAAAAGAGATTTAGCTATTAGGGGAAAAAATAATAACCAGTGATTTGCAAACAGCTTTTCATTTCATTGAAAAATAAAATTTCTCCTATTTCTATTAATGAAGCGAGAGTAAAAATTTTTCAGTTATTCTTTGATTCTTCAATGCACATGCTATATTTTTCCATCTCAATTTTTCTCTCTAGAATAAGTTTATAGCCTATCACAGGCCATTTCCTTGAAATAGCACAGCAGTTCTTCATGCCACAGGCCCTTTAGTGCATATATTTTCAACACATTCCATTTTTGTTATTAAGTGTATAGACCTTGACCTATTTAATGCACTCAGAATTGGAACATGATTTCAGAGCACTTTATCCTTTTTTGGGGAAAAAAAAGATAAGCTAATTGACTTCTCAGGTATGGAATTATGACAAATTATGAAATATGCCTGCTACAGAAGTGGTCCCCAACCTTTCTGGATTGGCAGCCCGGCAGGTGGGAGAGGTAATAGTTCCCTGTGAGTGGCAGGGGAATGCACACAAGGACATGCAGCTCCATTTGTCCAAGCAGCAGGTATGCAAATGAGCAAAAGAGGCCACCGCTCACATGAGGGGAGCTTCATTTGCAAGGTCAAGCGACCACTGCTTGGTCAAGGGGATCTTTGCATACATACACTCACCTATCACTTGCGCAGCCCAGTTCCGAATAAGCCATGGCCTGGTAGTGGGCCACAGCCCAGTGGTTGTGTACCCCTATGCTATGGTGTACTAATATTTTGAGTCACCATTGAAAGAGGACGGACAGATAGTCCATTGTCCATATTTGTGGTCTTCCCATCCAGTGAATCTTTCCAGTACAAGTCAGATGTTGATTATGTGAGGGAAGCAAGTTTGTTTGTTTGTTTGTTTAAAAAATCACAATGATGAGGATGTAGAGATTTTGTTCCCATGGCAGTTAAAGCTTAAATTTATTGTAAAGCAATAATAGTGACAAACTAATGCTTACAGGCTTTCTTTTAAAATATATTTTTAAGAAAAAATGTTAAAAATCTGAAGAAAATTTAATATATTTTTAGAAAAAAATTCAGGGAAATCAGCAGTTTGTCTCAGGTTTTAACATACCGCCTGCTAAAATATTTATTTGCTCCTCCTAAAGTATCTTACACTTTGCCTTGCATACTAAATCTATGACAGTAGTTAGAAATTAGAAGCATTATTTTACTTGTTTAGCCTTGCCTCGTCTATTCATAAGTATACTCATAAGTAATATGCAATTCTACTGAGATGAGGCTAGATATTATCCATTTCATCAAAACAGTTTCTGCCCTCCATTGAAATTCCTTAGAAGTTGCCTTGTCAAGAATCAGAAAATTTACCTGAGAAATTAGTTTAACTAAATTTATTGAATGTAGCAGTTATATTAACCTTTACCTCAAAAATTAGTTTGACTCAAAATTGTGAGCTTCAGGCATACGATGCTACCTGACAGCACTCAGGAAGCAGACCTTCTCTATCATAACACCATCTCTTTTGCCTTGGAGATGAACATGTCTAGACTTTTAAAAAGAATTAAAAACATGGCAGTTTGGCAGTTCGAATGTCACCGGCTCAAGATTGACTCAGCTTTCCACCTTTCCAAGGTTGGTAAAATGAGGACCCAGATAGTTGGGGGCAATATGCTGATTCTGTAAAACCACTTAGAGAGGGCTGTAAGGCACTGTGAAGCAGTATATAAGTCTAAGTGCTATTGCTATTTATATCTGCTGGTACAGTTGAGAGTTAGTTGTTTCCTCTGGATTAAGCCATTTTGGGGTTGGATTTTTTTATATGAATCTGCCTCAATCAGGGCTGTCAAACTCCCGGCCTGCGGACTGAATGTGTCACATGCTGGTCATGCCCATGCCTGGTTTAGTGAAGGGGGGAAGGTCCTGATATGTCACATGCTGCTGCTGTGACAATGTGAGTTTGACACCCCTGGCCTAGACGAAAGTTAGTCAACCTAGAGTTAGTCAACCTAGAAATTTCAAAAATAAAAATTGTACCCTACTGTTGAGTAGCAATAGTAAATGTGGTTTCTCCTCTATTCTCTGTACAATTCAAAACAATTAGGTAAGAGAGGTTAGGATAAGGAGATAGCTACTGGTTCAAACTGACGTCAAGGGAGTTTGATGTAGGGGTTAAAGTACCAGAAACCAGGAGACTGTGAATTCTAGCCCCATTTTAGGAATGACAGCTGGTTGAGGGACTTTGGAACAGTCAC